ACAAGCTACTTCACTCATCACACATTTCAGTTTCCCCATCTGTAAAAAGAAAATACTTTCTACCTCTTGCTGGAAAATACTTGACTGAAATACAGCAAGAGTTCAATAAACTGAGTACCTTGTCCATCCCCATGTTCGCTGGGTTTCCACCTAGGGGTTATCTCTGAGCTCACACGTCTGAGTGTTGGTCAGGACTGTACCCGCGGTAAAGTAGATCATCACGAGTGCGTATGTTCATGAGGGGACAGCTGGGGGTTGGCTGAAGGTTTATTCGGGGTTGGAGCACCCTACTGGGATTCACTGCACATTGATGAAGAAATTGCAGAATAACCTGGAGTCCTAGCAATTCTGCCTCTTAGAGATTTCACCAGACTTTGGCATGGAGACTGGTGCCTGGACCGGGCCCCACTGACGCAGCCCTCTCCAGAAAAAACCCAGCTGGTGACAAAGCGTTGATTTAAAATAATAAACACGAGGACTCCGATGTGCATGGCAAAATGTCAGTGAAATCTTGTGGGTGAAAGGTGGGGCCTAAAATGCATTTGCACGATGGTGCCAGACTGGAAACACCCTGTTTACACACAGAAAAGGATCAGAAAAGGCCCCAGAGAAATGTGACCAGGGGAAGCATTGAGGGGGGAACTTTCTGCAAAGTTGTCTACATGTTCAATAATTGACTATTCTTCCCCCACGTGCAGCTGGATTCAATGGCCTCCTGGTCCCCTTCTGTGCATTTCCTTATTATCCCAGTTCCTACATGATACCCGTCTGCACTCTTTTCGTAGAGGATGAGCCATCTGTGGGACAGGGGCAGAGCCCAGGGCCAAAGGACCAAGAACTGGGTTGGCTTTGCCCCCTCACAGCCTGTGTCCTGCACACACGCCTCAGCTGCACAGAGCCGCAGGCTGCTGCCTCTCCACCCAGCTCCCGTTCCTGCTTCCCCCACTCACTTCTCATACACTCCTGGCCACGTTCCCAACAGGAACATTCTGTCACAGGCTTCTCCCTGCCCTTGCAACCAATTCCCAGGGTGAAACAGAGGGGCGCTTCCTATGATATTTTAGGTCCTCCCACCTCTTGGCACTGTTCTTCAACACTGCTTATAGCAAAGGCAGCTGGGGGCAGCCATAGATGAAGGAGGCTCAGATGCCAGCTTCCAGAGAAAAAGAGGCTTTCAGGGAAGGCCCCTGCCCCACACACCCACCACCTCACTCACCAGTGATCCCTCCCCAGTTACCCAGGCCCTCTGTCTTCTCTCATCCTCCTGAGTCTCAGTTTCCTCATCTGTAAAATGGAGCCAGTAACACCCAGGATTACTTGAGACGATGTGTATGAACTTTAGCTCCAGCCTACAGACAGGGCATCTGAAGCATTAGCTTCCTCACACCCTCCCCGCTGAAGCCCCCCGGAGCCGAATGTTCATTCACTGGGCGAATGATTTGCTCTGTGATTTGTAGGTGTGAAAGAAACCACACATTCACTGCTCTATCATGTTCTCATTTGTGAATAAAGGTCTTAACAGGCTAGTAACTCCATGAGAGAGTTTTGCCCCTAAATAGCCTTTCTGCTGTGAAATAAAGCTATAAAATATTTTTCAGGGGTTCCTTGCTCCTAACTTGCCACAGTCTCATTCCTTTAAGGACTCTGTCAGAAGCTAACAGGTGTCTGTGGGCACATGTGAGGGTTTTGGGAGCAGCCACGGGCCACAGGAATGTTCCCTACCTCGGCTGCATTTTCTCCCCACTTCCATCTCCCCCTTCATCCTCCCCCATCAGCAGCTGCCTGGTCCTGCCCTCCACCCCCTCCTGCTTCATCAGCTCACCCCTTGGGCAGCTCGGGGTAAAAGGCAAGCTGGGCCAGGAGCCAGGCAAGGGGAGGGACGTGGGAAAGGCCTGCCGGCTGCAGCTCGCTCCTCCCGCCTCCAGCCCCATGCTGCGCTCTCCACCACCACAGCCTCCGACGACATTATCTGACGCCCTTCAGTCCCAGACCCCAAAGGCTGCGAGGCCCGTACCTGTTGCTCAGTTAGAGCCACCCATTCACTGATAAACGAAGCCCCAGCATCGCCCCAACCCACAGCCCCGGACTCCACCTGCTGTTCAGTGGGAACCCTGACCTGCCTACCTCCCAAGAGAATCCAGGCAGCGCAGGCTGTGTGGCTTGTCTCTGATACTTCAGGCTACCCCGAGGCCCCTGTGTCCCTCTGTCTTTCTCCCACAGAGCCAAATATGGGTTTGAGGGGATGAAGGGTGCAGAGGAAGACGACTTGGGCATTGGAAAGGTTCCTTTGGTGCTGCCGGTGACAGCAGCACTCACAAACCCCCCAGAAATCCAGTGTCTGCTTCTAACTGGGAAACTGGGTTCATCCCCCCACCAACCCAGAAGGGGGTCCCTGGCTGGAGCCAACAGGTAACGGGAGAAGGGAAAGAAAAAGGGAGTCTATGGGCAGAAGAAAGCAAAGCAAGGAGGTGCCGGGGGCTGGTGCTACTCTGATTGTGGGGGGAGAGGGGGTCTGGTTGCCGGTTCTCATATCCCTGTCCTCCAGCCCCTGCCCGCTCCTATCCCTGATGGTGCCCCATGCCGGAAGGTAACAGGGGACCAGGGGAGCCGCAGGCAGGTGAGCGACCTTCATTCCATGGCCAGGGGGTCGGTGTCTAGGTGCTCTCTCCATGACAACACAGGGCCACAGGGGGCTCAGAGTTCCACCGTATTCTGAGAGACCAAATGCAGGGACACGGTGACTTAAGACTTTGGTGGGTGGGCCTGGGAACTCAGGCACCTTTTAAAAAGTCACATGATGGGACTTCCCTGATGGCCCCAGTGGGTAAGACTCCACGCTCCCAATGCAGGGGGCCCAAGTTTGATCCCTGTTGGGGGAACTCGATCCCACATGCATGCTGCAACTAAGACCTGGTGCAGCCTAAATAAATATTTTTTTAAATTATTAAAAATAAATAAATATATATAAAAAGTCACATTAGTCCCAAACAAGTGACTCAGAAACTTCTGGAACACAGCCCACTGAAAGCTGGGGCCTCCTGCATTCTCTCTCGGGCTCCCAAATGGACCTTGGGAGTCACCTCTCCCTCCCCATCTAGTCCCAAAGCTGTATCCAAGGCACTGCCTCCATGTCAAGGTCAGGCTCTCCTGGGATGCTAATATTGCTATTCTTGATTTACTTATTTTTCTATCTTTTTTTTCTGTTTCCTAATCTTTTGGAGTTTTTGTTTCTTAGCAGCGCCCAAAGGACACCAGCAATCAAGGGTTCAGCCTCTTGGGCTCCAGTGGGGAGAATTTCTGATTTGCTCCCTTCATGGGCAGCAAAGCATACGGGAAACTCATGTGGTCCAGGGGCCCTGGCAGAGAGGAAAGGGCTAGAAGTGACTGTTCAGTAAAAGGAAAGGGTTCAGAGTTTGATCCCAGGCCCCAGAGGCTGCCATGCCCACCTATCTGCCCCCCAGCTGTGCTTGTCACCGATTCCTGATAGGAATGCCTCTCGCCATTCTTGCCCAAGACAGCTTCCAGCAGGGCCCTCAGCTGGCAGCAGCACAACCTTAGGTTCAACAACCCGGAAGTCATGAGGGGAACGGCAGGCTGTCACCCTTTATGCACAGGGCATTGGGAGAAAAAGGGACCTTTCAGTGTGCCTGCACCAATCCGTGTGCACCAGCCCAGGGCTGGGCCCCTGCAGCATCAACACACAAAGCTTCTGTGAGAGAGGACACTGTGTGAGCCAGAATGGGAAAACAGGAAGAATATTGGCCCAAGAACTAGGAAGAAGTTAAAACAGAAGAAAAACCTGTGTTTCAATCTAACTAAGCGGGAGGCAATGGGACGGCCCCACAGGTTTCTTGCATCAACCACCAACGGCACTGCTGCGCCCCTGGACACTCAGCCCCCAATCACAGGAGACTAATGGCTTTGGCCAAGATGGCGGTAGCAGTGTGTCGTAGTAGCAAGAGCACTGAAATGGGAATCTAGAAACGGACATTCCAGCCGCTGACTGCCACAACTAGCTGTGTGGCCTTAGAGAGGTCACTCTCCATCTCTGGGCTCATATATAAAATAAGCAGGTAGTGGGCAGGACGCACAACTGTGGAATTCATTGACTCTAAGCCCCGTGGAGCCCCCGCCCCCAGACAGGTTACCAGATAATAAGTGCACAAGGCCAGGAATCACACCTCCCGATCTCTGTAGCCCCTCAGGACCTACTCAGGGTCTTGGCACCCAGTGGGAACACAAGACTATCTATTAGTTAAGCTGAGGCCAAAATTTCGCCCCTTCCACAGGAAGGCATCCTCCGGAACCAGCAGACACCCCCTCACTGTGGCCGGCGACCCTGGCTCCGTTTGCATCCCCATGACATGCCTTCTGTGGGGAGACCACCACTCCCTACATCATCTGACTGCTCGGGCACCCTGAGCTCCCAGCAGAAGTGGGATTTACGACCAACACACACACAGTCCTTCACGTCTCCTTATTTGAGGTTCCCCACAACCTTTGATCTTGATAACAACCACTTTAGGCAGGCCAACTCTGTCCCCATTTGACAGAGGAGCACTGAGTCCACACATTCGGTCTCTCGCCGAAACCAGTCAATGACAAGCTAGAGACCAGAAGCCAAAGGTGCCCTCTTTCCCCACAAGAGGTCTTCCCAGCAGAGCTCAACGACAAACACAAGGCTGCATCGCTCAAGACGAGGCCCAGGCGGGCTTTCCTGCCACCCACGCGGGCTGGGCACAGGTGACAGAGTGGCCAATGTCTGGAAATCCTCCAACCCCTAACCACAGACAAGCTCTATGGCAAAGCCAGGGGTTGAGGGAGAGCTGGTCCTTCCTGCACAGGCAGATGAGAACCCCAGACCACGACCCCTCCCCCCCCCGACATTCTGACTCAAGGGCAAAGAAAACAATGCCACCCCCATCTCCAAAACGGGTACCACCTCAGCTGAGGGCTGCTGGGAAGAGAAGCCGCTGGGTGGGACAAAAGGTGGGACTCACCTCCCTCAGCAACTGCATCCCCTTCAGCCCGTCCCGCTGCTGCTGGGCCACGGTGACCCCCAAGACAAGCGTGTGCACGATGCAGGAGACCACAGAGATGACGACGATGGGGCTGAGGCTGAGGGGCAGCGTGATGAAGAAGGAGAAGACAAAGAAGGCCTGCCAGCCCACCGTGTCGCTGGCTGCGTGCGCGCGGGAGAAGTTCAGGCCCAGGCAGAAGACCTGGGCTGTTATCAGCAGCCACAGCAGGTAGGGCACCACTTTCCGGGTGACCCGGGTGGGCAGCAGCCCCTTTCTGCAGAGCACAAAGAGGATGATGTCCAACACCAGCCCGACCCCGGCCACAGCCAGGGGAGCCAGCTTGTCACTGGAGAAGACCACCGCGCACATGACCACCACGTAGCAGTCGAAGAGGGCCGCGAATACCACCAGCACCAGCAGCGTCTCGTGGCGCTGCCTTTTGAAGTAGGTCTGGTACAGGTTCTCCAAGGACTCCGGCACGAAGGTCAGCCGCATGAAGCGAGGCAGGCACAGGCAGGATCCCGAGTTGCGGACAGAGATCTCATGGGTCCGGCCCACCCTGCGGTCAGGGTCAGAGGGCAGGCTGACGGAGTACTCGGCCGAGTATTCGGCCGAGTACTCAGGATCGGAGAAGCCCTGGGTCCTCGGCATCCTGGCTGGTGTCTGCTTCTACTGGCTCTGGAGAAGCGGACGGTGACCAGAGGAAGGACTCTGGAATGGGCCACCTACCAGGGCTCTCGGGGACCTGGGGCAGGCTGACGGCCGGCCCCCTCGGGCAGGAACACAGAGCTGGCTTCCCCCGGCACAGGCAGCGCTGACCATCTGGAACTTAAAAGGACATCACTGAGTAGAAGCCCCTCTTCCTTCCTACCTGTGCTTTCTCCACAACCCACTCCAGCTGTCCTCAAAGAATCCTTGCTCCAAGGGGCTCCAGAACCAGGGCCGTTCTCCCGCCCCCCCCCCACGCTCACTCCACCACCCGACCACACACACTTAGTCCTGTCCGCCCAAACACTCCGTCTCCTGTCTCTGCCTATGGACGGGCCTGGCCACCTCTCCATCCGTCACACCCTTGGTCATCTCGTCTCTCTCAGTCCCTGACTTCCTCACGTAAATCTCCTCCAGGCCCAAGCCTTAGAAGGTCTAAATAAAACATGCTAGAAAAAACCCAGAGCCATCCTGGGGGTTCCCGAATCTTCCTCTGTTTACTTCCTTTCCCACCCAGCCCCTCGGCCACTCGGGCTCCCCAACTCGGGGCACTGTTTGCCCTCCGGAAGGCTGGCCCTGCTCCTCCGTTTACCTGTGCGGAAACTCAGGAGCCGCGTGGTCCGGAATGGTCCCCTCGCGGGCTGCGAGGCCGAGTCACGCGTGCAGTGGTAGGGGACAGGAGGGCTCAGCGCGCCCCGGGGCTGCTTCCCACGGAGCCGCGCCGCCCCGCCAGAGCCACGGTCCCCGGCCGGGGCGCGACTCTCCCGCCGTCAGGCCGGGAATCCGGCCGGGAGAGACGCAGGGCTGGCCCTCAGCATCCACAGGCGCCCGGCCGCAGGAGGAAGGAGGAGGCGGCGGCGACGGAGGCTGGAAAATTCGGGGGCGCCCGCCCCTAGGGCTGCGGCTCGCGGGCCGGCATGCGCGGCCGGCCCCCTCCCGCTGGCTCCGCAGTGGTCGCGACGGCGCGGCTAGGGGGGCACCCGGGGCCCTCCGCGGCGGGAGCGAGGGCCGAAGCCGGGGAAGCCCGCCAGCATCCTCTGGCCCGCCCGCGAGCCGAGCGGAGACAGCCGAGTCGGGGCGCTGCGCGCTGCACAGTGAGTCCCCGCGCGGCGCTGGCGGCTCCGGGGCCACGCGCGCTCCAGGCCCCGGGAGGCGGGCGGCGCCCCTCCCTCCCTGCAGTCGCCGCTCTCTCGGCGAGCGCGTCCGTAGTGGGGGCGGGAGTGGGTGGCCGGGGGTGAGGCGCCCGGCTCCAGACCTGGCCCGGCGAGGGTGAAGAGAAGCGTGAGGAGGAGGGCGGGGGCGAGTTGCAGGGCCCCTGGCGGCCCCACGCTCCGACACCGGGCTGCGAGCTGGCGGCGACGGCTGCGTGGAAGCTTGGGGTGGGCGGTGGCAGGAAGGATGGGTTAATCAGCGCCTTCCCCCCGCAGGCCAGTCTCAGAAGATAAAAGCCCGGGACGTGCCCTCCGGCAGGTGAGGCGCGCTAGGGGCATCCCGGGCGCCCCCTACTCTGCCGCAGCTTCCTTCCGGGCTCGGAGAGGCGGGGGCCGAGGTTTGCGGACGGCTCCCCCCGCCGGTGCGCCTGGCCTGTGTCCCCGCCCACCCTGGCAGCTTTCCGCAGAAGGGCCCGCAGCTGAGCCTAGTTCTTGAAGGAAGCGGGTAGGAGTGGCCCAGGAGGCACGTGGAATTGGGAGAGAACCGGCTTCAAAAAGATCTCTTGTGCACATTCCACCTGTTTGAGGCGTTTTTGAATTTACAAACTCTGTTAAAAACTCAAATGCTCCTTTGAATGGTTAAGTCGTTCAGTCTCTTACACGTTAGTATAAATTACTTTCCTTGGATTTGACAGAATATCTTGCCAAGCTCAACCACGGGCTTTAGGAATTTAGACAAAGGGAGAGGAGGGAGATAGGTTGTTTTGGAGCAAAAGTAAGAATGTGGGGGCAAGAGTTGCTGAGGACAGCCAGCAGCATGAGAGGGTGGGCTCCCTGGGGAGAGGAGGAGATGTAGGTAAGAGAAGGGAGAAACTCAGCCATCCAGGCCCTGGATGAAGATGCCTCCTGGACCTCTTGAGATCATCCTTGAGGGCCCTTTCCAGAACCTCAGGTGTCAACTCACAAACCTCAGGGAATAGATTCATTAGCAAATTGATCCTATCACAGCTGTTTCTGTCCGACCCTCATACTAATTCAGAAAAGCTGCCAGCCTCAGCCCAAACTTGTCAGGGCTTTGCTTCCAAAGATGAGGAATATAACATCAGATTTAGGAGGATGGTAATTTCAGTAAAGCAGCATTTCTCCCCATTGTTTCAGTTTGTTTGGAATCCAAACGTTTATTTTGATACAGTGTTAAAGGAGGCATGATTTTTATGTTTAACAAAGGGACATGTGTTAATAAAGGGGATAAAAAGCTGATAAATACTGTTTGGGCCTGCTTGGGCACAAGCGACACCCACATTGTGTCTTCTGTGAGTCCCTCCCCTTTTCCTGCCACACATGCCAACCCTTGGGGTTCTGGGGGGCTCCCCACTCGGCAAGACCACGCCCAGCTCCTGGGCCCTGTGGGTTTTCTGCTGGGCCTTCTGCCACCACCTATGCCCCAGCCTCTCCCCCGCACACATCCCGTGAAGGACGAGCGTTCCACACAGATAAAGCAAACAAGAGATCAGAGCAGGACCCTGGTGTCCTGGGGAAAGAGGAGCGGGAGGAGAGACAGTCATCAGCTCCCCTGGTGCTTTACCCCTGGTAAAATCCCCGATCTCCTGCCCCTCCTGCCCTGACTGCTGAACTCACTGCTCCACTCCCTGCCCTTCCACAGTCCTCCTCTCTTGGCCGTGGGCACCTGTTCAGCAGACCTGTGCTGGGAGCACACAGGATGCCCAGCCGGGCCAGGTATCAGGAAAGACCAGAGAAAACACCCCACCCCTGCCCTCAAGATGCTTGCCAGCTCTGCAGGGTCACCACATCCACAAAGACAGACCCTCAGTTGAGCACAGGTGACCTGAAGCAGGGCCTTTCAGGACCACAGGGGAGCATCTGGTTGGCTGGAGCCTCTGCAAAGGCTCAGCAGCAGGGCAGTGCCCACAGCACACTCCCGTCCCTGCTCTGCATTCTGGGTTATGTACACAGCCCTTCCCTATGGCTGTGGGAAGCCCAGCAGGGCAGCTGCAGCCCCTCTCTGGGCCTCTCTGGAAGCCAGGAGCAACTGAGTGGATATTCCAGAGCAAGAGAGGTGATTGGGGAAAACGCAACTAGTCAGAGACAGGCAGTGAGGCCACAAGTCTCCTCCGTCTCCCTCACAGCTGCTTCTCCAGGACGTGGCACCTAGTAGATACTCAAAGCAGCCGCTGAATGAATGGATGGTTTCCTTAGGAAGAAGTGGCACTTTGTAAGTGTCCCTGAGCAGACCAACCGGACTTATTCATTGATGCTGAACATGTCCTGGTCCAGGAGAAATTAAAAATAACCACACTCAAGTGGAAATGGAGGGAGGTGCCTTCAGTTTCTAAGCTATATATTTTGCATTGTCACCTGGAGAGCTGTCATGCATTGCTTTTGCAATCAAAAGATACAGTAAATCTATCTTTAAAACACATACCGACACACACATGCACACACCCACACAACCGAAGACCATGAATGGCTCTGTGAGTGACTTGCCTATGGCACGTGTCCTAAAGTGAAGACAGAATCACGGGCTTGGGGAGAAGCTTGGAGGGCACCCCAACCCTAGCCCAGGATCCCCTCGGACAGGACACCTCTTTGCAGAAGGCACCTTTTGTTTGTATGGTTTGAGACTAAAGATGGATTGCTGAGAATTAATTGTTATTGGATAAACAAGAGTGGTTTGGCTCCCTGGGTTAATGTGGTGGCTCCTGAATTCAGCAAACAAGAGATCAGAGCAGGACCCTGGTGTCCTGGGGAAAGAGGAGCGGGAGGAGAGACAGTCATCAGCTGGGCCCTGGGAGAGCCCTGATTGGGGCCTTACCTGAAAGCAAAGCCTGCATGCAGGTGGTTTAATTGGGAGAGTGATTCCTGGGGAAAGAAGTCAGGAAAGCCAGTAAATAAAAGCCGGGGGTGTGCCGGTGCGGTCACTGCCGTGGGCAGTGGGGCTTGATCCCTCTGGGACCCTCTGAGGAGCCTCGCAGAAGGCACCTCAGCCTGTTTGGCTGGGTGGCTGGAAGTGGGGAGTATTTATCCAGCTGCTTCCCTCCCACGTTGGTTAAGGGTCACGGGTCGGTGGGTTTCCTCTCGAGTACTTCCAGGTGCCTACAAGCCTCAGGGAGGCTGAGCGGTGGGCACCTGGGCAGGAAACAGGACACTTGTACAGTGAGGCAAGGTGCCTGCAGGGTGTACCCGCAGCAGTTGAGGAGTAGATGGAGGGGCCACGAGGATGACCCGTACAGTGTCCAGACCTTCATCAACTCCTGCCAGCTCAGAGGTTTGGAGCCTTCACCTGGGAGACAGGAGCCCTCAGTCATCAGCAAGCTCAGCCTCGGACCCTGGCCTTGATGCTGAGGGGGACCTCAGACAAACGATTCCACCTCCCCAATTCTCAGTGTCCTTGTGGTGGGGTGACACAGACTGACCCTAGGAACAGGGGCTAATGGGCATCAGAATGGTTGGCAAATCTCCACAGAACAAGTCAAATGGGTGTTGCTGTCCAGCTCCTGGCCAGACGGCCCAGCTGCTCTGGCACTGCTGTTCCAGCGTGACCTGCTCAAGGCATGGCTGGGCTGCCATCGCCCTTGGGCTGTCCCTGTGGTTACACCTGGGTCCCTCTCTTGACTCCACTGCAGTTGTCCTCTCTGATAGCATCGGCCTGAGTGCCACTTCTTTGTCTCTCTCTTTCCTTCTCTGTGTCTCTTGGTGCTTCTGCCTCCACGTCAGTCTCCCTGGCTCTGCCCCTGCCTCTGGGTCACTCCTTGGACCACTGTGGATGTGTAC